CAAATAATAAAATTGGCAGGATTGAACATTTAAATAACATCATCTCTAAAAATGCAGCCACACATTAGGATAGTTTGGGAAGTCACTGAGGGTTCTCCTCAGGATCTGTGACATCCCCTACCTTTTCTTTCCTTTGGACTCCTGAAATAACTGTTCATGTTTGAGCCACTCCCATTTGCCCTTCTACGTCCTACCTTGAAAACCTGAACCTTGAATTCTTGAAGACTAGAACCATTGATCATTATCGAGAGTTTTCTCAAGTGACTCCCGTCATTTGGGATGTAATTAACTATAGGGGCTTGCCTCTATAGGGAACTTGGAACCCAGGTAAAATAAACCCTATTTAATCTTTGTATTAGATAGGGGAACTTATCGGTTATATATAAAAGGTTCGCAGACTAAACGGATGTCACAAATCTCTTAGTTTGCAGGATTGGGTCTATCGCTGAGGTCTACACTTATCTCTCGGGAGGGCGTAGTATTCGCGGTATCAGACACGATTATGCAAACTATCAGACTAATGAGATCCATTTGGTCTCATTTTTCAAAAATTAAAACATACTACTTTTAAAACTCAAACTATATATCTTTTATACTTAAATTAAATCTCAAAAATTATTTTCATATACCATATTTTCATGAAAAAAAAAGTTGACCGACAAACACATATATTTATGTCTCCAAATATTATGATTTGGAATCTCTATGTTATGAAGAGTATGAGAAAGTACCTTCAAATTTTGGATTAGTTTATTAAATAGTGTGGGGACAATCTTAGCAAGATTAGATTAAGACTTAAGTGGAGAAGGTAGATCCAATAAAAAATTTTTATCATTATCTGTTGTAGCAGAATTCTCTCTGTAGATAATTTTGAGTAAAAAAATTTCTCCTCTTCGAAAGTCACATCAGTAAAGTTAAATAATTTTATGGATGGTAAGGGTTGTGTTAACTAATCCGAATGGTTAACGAGGTTTTATATTTTTCAGAGGTTACCTTCTCGGATTGAGTTGTTAGAGTATTCATTGAATCATTGTCGTCATGACTGTGTTTCTACTGCAATAAATTACAGAATCTCGCCAAAAATGTGGGTATCCAGTTATGGAGAACAAGATCATAGATTACTCTGGTAGAATTCGAAGCTTGCATCAGGTGTGCGAGTAGTGATATCAACACAAGATATGGTCCATGGAAGAAGAGAAAATACCAAAAATAATAATTCTATAGTTAGAGAAGGCACCTATGCATAGAGAGACTAGAAGCAATGATGAAGACCCTCGAGAAGAAAGCTAGAGTCCATTTTGAAAAGATTGAAATGATGAATGTTGCTAGAAGGATTATAGCAATTTTGTGGATTGAATTAGAGAAAAAATTTTATCTAGGAAGAGCCTCGACGTTTGTAAGGATTCATGATGATCAGGAGAGAGGTGCATCGACTGGAGAAGAATTGACAAAGCCAAATCCACATCGACATTGATGATGAGTAGCTTTTGAAAGAGATTGGCATCTATTTGTATTCATTTCACTTGATTTTAATTACTAGTAATATGCAGCCTTGTACAAGCTTTGCTTAGAGAAAAATGAAACACATACAAGAAAGGAAACATACAAGTCAGTGTGAAGTCACCAATAGAGAATGTGTAGTGCATGTTTATATTCATGGTAAGAAATTACTAACATAGTTGATTACATACCAATTCATACCTTTGATGTCATTTTGAGTAAAGCTGAAATCACCTGTTGAATAATCATTTTATATTTTATATGATCGAAATTTATAATCTTCATTTATTAGTATAGTGAAAGTTGAAAACTGTTTGCAAAGTGGTGAAATGGTATTTTTGACGAATTTAGAAGATTTGAATAAAGATATACATGAATTGAAGAATATCCCAGTGGTTTCAAAATTTTCTGATGTAATTTCAGAAGAGTTGTCAGGGCAACCGTCAAAACAAGAAGCTGAATCTCTTATTAATGTACAACCTAATGGAATAAAACATATCAAAGCGTATGCAAATATAATATGAAATTTTTAGTGTAAAGAATGTTGGTAATAATAACAAAATAAAACAAAAAAATAAATGTATGTCATTGCTTAGTATAATGAATTAAAAGATTTGTTAGTGGCATCTTTAACTCTTTTTGAAAAGTTTCTTTCTTTTTAAAGAATTTGAGCAAATTTAAGTGCGCGTGCACGGCATATGTAAGGCTTTGAACCTTGGACCTAGGATAAGCGGTCGAAAAAGAAAGCTCTCAACCACTAGGATAAGCGGTCTTTGAACCTAGGATCTCTTGGTTGAAAAAGAAAGCTCTCAACCACTAGGATAAGGGACCTCTTTGTTGAAGACAAAGTTATCAACCACTAGGATATGTGTTGCATCTTCTATTAGTAATTGTACTCTTCTAATTATTGTCGTATGAAAGTATATTTATTCATAATTGTTGTGTACCAATTCAATTGTGAATATCAACGAAATCATGTTAGTCTCCGATCAGCATACATATTCATTTTTTTTGTATGTTTGAATCTTATTTTAACAATATTTTCCTTGTTAAGCTTGGAGCTCACCAAGTATCATAATCTTTTATTTTTAGGGTGGGGAAAAGAGTTGTTTAGTATGAAAGTATATCTATTCTTAGGAAAGGTGTTCCAACTCATGGTTGAAGATTATCCTTCTCTAATAGACGATAGTTTGCAAATCATGGTTGAAGATTGGATGAAAAGGTGTTCCAACTTAATCCATTGGTTTAAATCGTATCTTTCTCTATATTGTTATTTTTGTAGTCTTTGTATGGAGGAAAACTAATTTTTGTATTTTCTATTCGAAGTAAGAGAGGGACGAAAGTAAACAAAATTCAGGTTTTCTGTTTCATTTTTTGAACATGTTTTGGACTTTAAATTCCCAAAATCTAAATCCGTAAACTATATGTTGATATCCATCATTGTTTTAGGGATATAAAGCACTTTGACTTCAATAGCACTTTATAAAATCTTTGCAGTACGTAACGGGGTGCACTTTTTTGTCTTTGCTTTGACGGAAAAAGTGACATCGGATTTAGTTAAAGAAAGAGCAGTTGCGATTGAATATTAATTTTTGAGAAATACAATAATAACTCGTCGGTACCGAAAATAAGCTAGTGTTTTATTACTTAATATGTGGGCCGTATAATGTATTAAAAGGTTAATTATTTTGTAAACCTTCTATTTTGTTGAATCTACTTTCTGATTAATTTGAAAGTATGCGCTGCAATAAGTTCCATGTCATTGTATGATTTTCAAATATCAAAATTTCAGGTGATTGTCATTCTCTATGCACAGTCAGTTTTAGGACGAATGGCATCTGGCGCTACAATTGCTTATGCTGGTAAAATTTCTTCTCTAAATGTCTTTTTCTCACTTTTTATCCTTTCCTTTTTTTGGTTCTTTAATACACATTTTAAGGGTAGGGAGTAAGAAATTAACATACAAGTCCTCATTGTTCTACCTTTTGTTGAGCCATGAGTAGTACATGTTAGTATTTCCTTTGTCCCCTAGTAAAACGCCAAAGAGTCCTCTGACTGACTAATTACATGGAGCAATTTTAGTCTCAAATCCTATAAAAGTGCCAAATTAATACCCAGGCTCTTCAATTGGGGTCAAAATAGTTCTCCATTGGGACTATTTAAGCCCATATTAGAATACTTAGGGGATTAAATTGTTACTTTTGTAGATTGGAACTAAAATGGCCCACTGCAAAAAATCAGGGGACTATTTTGACACTTTTCTCCCTTTTTTGTGGGGTTATGTGGCTACTAAATGCAATGATTTATTGAGCAGGATTGTGCATTTGTTGCCTCTACATCTTTGCACAAAATTCTCTGATGGCCAAATTCACTTGTAAGATTGGAAGAAGAGGGTCTGGTGGAGGGGCTCAAGAGAGCATGTAAACAGAAGAAGCTTCCATCATAATAGAGTTTTTTATGCCTAGCATTCACCTGTAGAGTCTATCGCATTGCAGTGTACAGTGAAGACAAAATTATCATTGTTCATAAAATAATTCTATTGAAAATGTGTAATTAATAAATTGAACAAATTACTATTTTTGTTTTTGCAATCTCTTTTGAGTTTTTTCCAACAAAATCTTGTTCTGTTCCATATGATTATTGTTGTAATTATTCGATGCTATAAATAACTATCAGGGGTTTGTTTTTGAGCAGATTGAGGGCTCCATGATGGCTAACAGGCATTTTTATTTTTTAATTAATCATACAATTAGAAGGATAACATTTTATTATTTTTTTAATTAATCTTGCTATATATTTGCATATTCATTTTGTTATTATGATTCATCTATATCTACATCAACCTCTTACAATTTTACGATAGATGTGCATAATACAATCACAACAAAAAGCTGAACTACGTTGATGTGGGTGCTAGATTCAACCAAAGCAGAAGTCTCGGTTTAGTAGGAGGCTAAACCAGTCCAACTGACTCCTTTTCCTTGGGCGGAACTTGCCACCTAAGTTCTCCCACACCCTCGCGCTACAACCACACTCTTTGCCTATCTACAATTTTAAATATATGTGTTGCTGAGTTTAGTGTTCAGTTTTGGTCTTGTTCTGATTACAGAGTTCCTACTGTCGGGTGTCTTTTCCTTTGTTAGGGTTGTATTCGAGGATGGGTGTTGCTTTAGCTGTATCCTGTTTCGAGGTGGTGGTTATTTCGTCAAGCATGCTTCATGATCCTCTTCCCAACTGACTCCTAATGTTCTTGTCCTCTTCCTAATTGCCGCCTAGCTTCTTGCGCATCTCCTAGCCGCCGCTCAACCCACCTGGAACCTCCCCTAGTGCTGACATTTAGGTGTACAACTGATCTAAGGAGGAACATTTACATCCTCTAAGGGCAGTGCTCGTGGTATTCTACGCAGATAACCTATATGCCCATATAAAGAAGTACCACTTCATGATAGATCATGTATGCTTTTTTGTGTTATATTGTGTTTAGTGCAGAAATTCAGATGAATTCAACTGAAATTGAGGCCATTGTGCGCTGGACTGTATCCCAGTTGTTCATCGAGCTGAGTCAGTTTCTGGGACTAGTGTCATTTTATAGGAGATTCATCAAGAGCTTTAGTACCATCAGCCTACCCCTATGACAGATCTTTTAAAGGGAGATAAATTACAGTGGAAAAGGTAGCTTAAAATAGTTATACTGAACTCAAGGAGAAGGTGTCCCAAGCGTCAGTCTTGGCACTATTAGACTTCAGCTGGATGCTCGAGGTATAGTCTGATGCATCTGGCTTGGGATAGCAACAGTGTTGAGCAATGGAGGTCACCCCATCGCCCTTTTCAGTGAGACGATGAATGATTCCATGAAAAAATACTCGATGTACGACAAGGAGTTTTATACTATTGTGAAAACTTTTGAGCATTGAAGCCATTACTTGCTGACAAGTGAGTTCACGCTGTTCTCAGACCACGATGCCTTGAAATTCTTTGTCAAGTAAATTGAAGGGCCAACATGCAGGTTGGGTTGAGTTCTTGGCGTCGTTCCAATTTATACTTGCTTAAGCACAAAAGAGGGAGCCAGAATTGTGTAGTAGATGCGCTGATCATTGCGATGCAGGCACGCGTTGTGGGCTTTGTGGTAATAAAGGAGCTTTACGAGACAGATGAGGATTTTAGGAAAATTTAGAGGTGTCAGGAGAAGGCTATCGGGCAATACCACAAAGTTGATGGATACTTGTTCTACCAGAGTAGGTTGTGCAATCTTAGATTTTCGTTAAGGGAGTCCATTATTTAGGAAAATCACAGTGGAGGACTCACTAAACATTTTGACAGGGACAAGGCTCTCGCACTAGTGTGAGAACAAGCCCCAACTAGTGAGAGATATGGAGCATTACGTCAAGCAATACAGGATTTGCCATATAGCCAAAACCATCATTACTTGTACCGGAGACAACGTGGGTGGACGTTAGCATGGATTTTGTAGCGGGACTTCCAAAAACACATCGGCATAAGGACTCAGTCATGATTGTGGTAGATCAATTCTCAATGATGAAAAATTTTGTATCATGCCACCCGACAGTGGACACGTCCCATGTCGCTGACTGTATTTTAGGAAGATTGTGAAACTGCATGAGATACCCAACACTATCACTTTAGACAAGGATGTCAGGTTTCTGAGTCACTTATGGAGGATTCCTGCTTCTTTATCATTGTACCTTTATTTTTTGGACTGCCAATCACAATCTTTCCAGGACTAATGTTCCGATCTCCAGTTTCAGTAATAAGACTATCATCAATTATAAACTTAACTGCTGAACTCTCATTAAGTTTTCTGATATTAAGAAATGGAATTGGAATGACTTCCCCTACCTCACTTGAATTCTGTAGTTTTGGGCACCTCTGGAACAAAGAACCAAGCTTTTTAAGCGCCCCCTCCCTATCATACCATGTCGGCGAAATCTTTTTGCATCTATATTTTCATCAGTGCCGAGTTGTTATAGATGCTTATGAGCTCGAGCTTTCCAAGACCTTGTCGTCCTCTGGCATGAGTTCAGTTTCAGCCACACGTTGTGAACGTCCTTTTATGTTCTCCCATGTTTGGCAGACATGGTTTACAGGTCTGTGTATCCACACTCTTACTTTTCTTACCTGGGCTCAAATTCCTTAGTGCCTTGCTGATGTTCTTTGAAAGATGAGCCAGTCTAGTTGTTTTCTGAATTTTTGTTCACTATAGGTGTTGATAATTCCTGATTAAAAGTTTGAGATGTGGTTATAGAAAATTATGTATATATGAGATTATATGAGTCTGGCACTGCCTGCTGAAGCATTAAAAACACGTCACCTTTTCTTTATGTACAATAATTGATAAATGTAGTTTTCCCATTTTTATGTTTCGCAGATTCAACCATTTATCACATCTTTGTCTCCACTTGGTAGGTCATTGATATTCATCGAACAAACTCTGCAGAATATAAAAGCTTTTAGTAGAAAAAAATGGGGATAATATCTGGATTGAGAACATGAAAGAGCAAATTTTTCAATGGAAACTAAACAAGAAATGAGATTTTCTACGGAAGTGCTAAAGATTAACTTTGATTAAGTAGTAATAAAATCAGCTGACATATGGCCCCATGATAGGACATCTTAACATTTATGTGGTTGATTGACTGATGTTCTTCATCAATTTGCAATGGCTCGTCATAAAGTTTTCGGTAAGAATTTTGGTCGGTGAATTTGCAAAATATATTTAATGTAATATAGATATGTAATTTTGAAATGTAATGTTTTGATTTTGGAAAATATGGGATCTAATTGGTCCCATACATCTAATAGTTTAAATAACCGATCATAATACCAAAGACAATATACTATCCCGAGAGATAGGCATATTACTTGACGACATGCTCGATTATATAAACTAAATAGTTTATGAAATCTGTTTAGTCTGCAAAATTTTTATGTATGATCGACAAGTTTCCCTACTTATTATAAAGATTGGATAAAGTTTATTTTAGGTGGATTCTTAGTTCCATATAGAGGTAAGCTTCAATAAGTAGTTACATCTCAAATGACCAAAGTCGCTTAGAAAAACTCTCGATTAAGATCACTAATTTTGTCTTCAAGATTTCAAGGTATAAGTTTTCAAAGCTGGACATGGGAAGGCCTAAAGGGAATGACTCAAGTTGGAATAGTTATTTACGCGTCCAAAGGAATGAAAGGTAGGCGTGTTGACCTCATTTTTGATAGGATCATCTTTTTCTTCGAAGCTTAGGATCTAGCTATAGGAATTTCCTATTGACTATCGTAGAATCTTTGTGATGGCCCACCCACCTAATAGAAATTCTAACCACTTATTTGCTATTTTTTTTGAAATTTCACGTATGTGATTTTGACCTCTAGCACCTAGAAGGTTGGAACCAACATGAGAAAACTCTAATAGAATCTATATAGGAATGTGAAGCCTTAGGGGCACCCTATTTGACCATGGGTGGCTCATGTTTGGTTTCACACACACAAACACACACCCTAAAACCCTAAAATTACTTACACTTGACTCACCTCCTTACTCCTTTTGCAAGCTCATGTAGGTGGACCCAAGCCTTTAACCTTTGACTATAATGGTTACGACCAACATGTTGAACATCCAAATGAGTTCTCATTTGGTGTCTTATGTTTCCAAGATGGCTATTCATGACATGCATGATTAACACCTTAAACCCTAAATCCATATAAAATACCAAATTTACCTTAAAATTCCCAAAACTCTAAGAAATTGTAAAAAATCTCCAAAATCATACCAAACTTAAGCCAAATCAATCATAACCACCCATTAACCAATTGTACCCAAATCCACCAAAATTGGCCCAAAGCATGACATGAAGCCACCCACGGAACCATCCATGAGCCTCATATGACCCATGCATAGCAAATATGACAAAAGGAGGGGTTTCTTTCTCCTCCCATTAAGCCTCTTGCCCAAAACCTAATTCAACCAAAGTCTCCTTCTCCGTGCCAAATCAATCACCCAAAGCCCTACCTTGGGAAGGAACTTAACCTATTTCCATCGGTTAAACCATGGTTAAACTAACCTAACCAACCCATGACCCATTTTGGGGAAAATTGAAATTACTCATGCTTAGACCAAATTAACTCCACATCTCTCCACACCTGACCTCCCACAGTATGGGGGCAATTTGCCTTGGCCGGCTGACCGCCCTAGCTATCGGAAAACACTAAGACTGAGGGGCTACCCATGGCCAAAACCCAAAATTGAGACTCCCGAGGTGGCTCACCCCAATTGGCCCATAATTTTCTCCTTCCCTCCACCTAAGCTTCATCTTGGTCACCCTGGTCTGCCCTGTTGGCAACCATGAACCCGCCTAAGCTTCAACATGGTTTTTCTGGCTTGCTATG